TGGCCTTGAGGCCAGCTGAGTGGGGGGATGAAGATGGAGACAAGGAAATCTACTTCTTCTTTACCGAGACTTCTCAAGCCTTTGACTCAAAGGAGCGCCTTAAAGTTCCTCGGGTGGCCCGTGTGTGTGCGGTGAGACTCCGATCCCAGCTGTCTGTCTGTTGTCTCCTGCTCTGCCTGGTCACTGTCTTTTATTCTCTGGGTCTCCATCTTTGCATTCTCCTCTATCTCCATTTTCCGTGTCTTGACTTATTTTCTGGGAGCTTGAAGAATATGGGGAAAGGGCTCTAGCCCCTTCAACTCCATAACTACCCTTGTTACAGTGTCCCTAGGAGGTGTAGAGGTGAAAGGTGGGAATTGTACACAGACCTGGGCTCCAGACCCTGCTCCACTACTTCCTGCCTCTGTGACTTGGGGCAGGTTCTTTAGCATCCTTATAGATGAGGATATTGATAATGCCTAGCTATAAGGGTTGTTTTGAGGCCTAAATGAGATAATGTATGTAAAGCACATAGTATACTACTTCATAAGGGCAACAATGAACTTAGTCCCCGTCATTGTGACCCTGTCTACCCATGTATCATTCCCTACTGCTAACTCTGTCTGTATCTCTACATTGAATTTTTATGCGTCTGTCTCTCCATCTGTCCTTGTCTGGGATAAACTTGTATTGGTTTCTACATTCTCCCTACAATGTTTGTCTTCTAAAGAGAAATGCCCATGCTCTTGTCACCGCAGGGGGACCATGGGGGCCGGAGGATGCTCCAGAAGAGGTGGACAACCTTTCTGAGGACTGACCTGCGGTGTCCAGGGTCTGTAGATGGCCGGGCCTCTAGTGTCCTGCAGGACATGGCTATTCTTCGACCTGAGAATGGAGTGGAGGCCCCCCTCTTTTATGGCCTCTCTTCCTCCCAGTGGTGAGGGGGTCCTGGTGTGGAGGAGAATTACAGGGTGGGAGATAACGTGGGGCTGGCACCTTTCAGTGCTGTATCTTCCAGAGGGGGTGGCTTCTCCCAGGAGCCGGCTGCATGGTTCCTATGCATTTCTTATGGGTCATCTCATTTGACAAGGCATGCCTTGTTCCCTAGTGCTCTTCCGATATCTGTCTCCAACCTATGTCTCTTCCAGGGAGGAGGCTTCCATCTCGGCTGTCTGTGCCTTCCGACCACAAGACATTCGGACAGTGCTGAATGGTCCCTTCAGGGAGCTGAAAGATGTCTGCAACAGGGGACAGCCTGTCATGGAGAGTGAGGTACCCCAGCCCAGACCTGGAGAGGTAAGGGGTGTGTGGCAGCTCTTCACCCCATGCCAGAATCGCCTCATTAGAGCAAGAGCCCAAGTAAGCATCGTGGATACTTCCGGGCCCCTGGGAAACATTGTCACCTATCCTGTGTTTTCCCTAGTGCATCGCTAATAACCCGAAATTCCAGCAGTTTAACTCATCACTCTTCCTGCCTGACCGTGTGCTCACCTTCATCCGGGATCACCCCCTCATGTACAGGCCAGTGCTTCCAGCTGATGGCCACTCCCTGCTGGTCACTACAGATACAGTCTATCTCAGAGTTGTGGCCCACAGGGTGGCCAGCCTCTCAGGGAAAGAGTATGATGTGCTCTACCTGGG